ATTTGATGACCCAGAACGATCATCAACCAAGGGCGTAGTTAGTTGTCAGGGACCCTCGTTCACTTCGTTCACTTCGGACGTCCCAGCTAGAATCCCTCTAACTAGTGACAATCCGCTCAAACCGCATGGACTCTCAAACCGATTCGATCGCTTCGATCGCATGGGTTCTCAGAGTCCTTGCAACACTGATGGGCGTGCACGCAACGAGACCAGGCCACGTGATCGTTTTCCTGGGCAGCGATGCCAGACTCCGTCCGTCTGGGACGACTGCTTGCTCGTAACTGACTCTCAGCCCAGTGCTTCCACTCTCAATATTTTAAATTCCTCAGTTGAGCTTCAAAAATTCCTGAGATTCCATGAAAATTCCTTAGATTTTTTTTATTGTACAGTATATATAAAAATATATATTTACATATCTTATGTACAGGCAAATATATGAATAAGATAAAGTTTTTTTTTTTTTTTTTAGATTTGTAGGAAAATTACCTACGCGGACCTTAAGCTAAAATGCTGGTCCACCCGCTGCTGGGATAAAACACCAGCGTCTTTTTGGTTAAATGTACATCTCCACCACTAGTGTGGGGGGGGGGATGCTCGGTAATAATGCTTCAATACTGACGACAAAATAGCTTAGGAAAATGATGCCAAATGCTTCCAGCCACAGTAACTAGCAGTACTTACCTCTGCCTTTACACCATGGTGTTACCATATTTTTCTGGTGTTCTAGATATACATACATATGCATAAGTACATTTGGTAAAAGGTGCAATGAAAAGAAGAATAGGCATAAAGAGTTTCAATTAATTTGTATTCTCAATGGCAGTAATTATCTCACACTTTGACCTCTCTACTTATTTTCTCAAGAAATTTCTTATGCAAATTAGCAGCTTCTTTATCATCTACAGTTGCTACCATTCTCGAATGAAGCTTAACCATCTCTTTGGAAGGATCTAAGGTTGCAGCCACACGGCTCCCCCTTTGCTGCAACAACAGTTTTGATGTCATAAGATATAGAAGACTGTCATGCTTCAAAGCTGCTCTGTGATCTCTCTTGATAAGCTTAGCTGACTAAAAATTCTTTCTACGGAAGCATTAGAGAATGGGAAGGAAAAAAGCACAGATAATACTTTAGACAAGTTAGGATACATCTGGTTTCTACAGCATTTTTTTGCCTGAAGATGAGGAGCCAATAATCTTGACTGCTCATATCACTAGCAACATTAGGGTACATACAGCATGCTGCCTCCATTCATTGTCCAAAGTTTGCATAACAACAATGATTATAAGATATGGCATTTGTTTTAATATATGCAGCAAAGATGGCACTTTCATGTTGCATGCAGTGGAAGGAGACAGACATTCAAGAAAGTCAAACTTTTCAAGATCATGAACCTCAAATGAATCTGCTGCACACATTCAATTAGGACTTCCCTGCAATGAGTGAGAAACATTTGTTTGGTTATACTGTTCAAAGTATCTGTTGCTGCAATGCCAATGTAAACTTTGCTCAGAGGAACATAGTGCTGCTCTTGCTTAGGAACAATTTTATCAATATCAGTGTCTCTAAGATATGAGTACTGCATGAAATCTGTGCTCAATGCTGATATCAGACCTGAAGGTTCCAAGTGTTCCCTGAAGAAGGGAGTGATGGGTAGGGAAACACCGGGTAACACTGAAGTCCATTTATTAACGGATAGGAGAAATACAAGTGGTGACTAGCGTGTGACTTGCACGACCCACAGAGTCAGACTGAGACTGCCTTGCCATATGGCAGCCTCGGGGCAATGTGCCACATAACACGTGCAGTGATGCCACGTAATTACATATATAAATGCTACTCGGCACAGTAGCCTATTTACAAGGTTGCTACTCGGCACAGTAGCATAGATACATAACCTACAAGACCAGACACTTCTTTTTTAAGTAAGTGCAACAATAGAATGTCACTTTGAAAGAATAAGTTGAATGAAACCAGTCTACCAAGGTTAAAGGACATGAATTCAAGGTAAGTTCTGGTAAATTTGTTACTGAGCTTTCTCAAAATGCTGTCATTTGTGTGTGTGGGATCCTCAAATGCAGCATTCTGAAAATAAAGCTGTAATGGATCATATTGCTCTAATATCCTGTCAACACAAGCCTTCATTGACAGCCAGCGAGTGAGTCCAGCTCTCAAGATTTGATGCCCATCAATATTTAGAAAGTCCTGGAATTCTTTCAGTTATAACAAGCATTGCATTGACCTGGATAATACCTCCTCAATATTACCATGTAATTCAATTGATAGTAGGAACATCATAGAATCTACTGTAGTCTTATTAAACATACCGAAGAATTCAACATGATTTTGAGTAACGGCATGTACAAGCTGGACAATTTTGTAATCAAGAAGATTTGTGACCAGGTGAGAAGGCCGGGTCACCTGACCATCTGACCTGACCACCAACCGTTGTGTGCTATTTAAAGATTAATAGGGTCATTACCTATTACCTGACCATTGTGGACCTGGTCTCACCCTCCTCTGTATATATTCACCTTGATTTGTATTTCTCTCTCTAGTCTGTACTCACCCCTGAAGATGTGAATTACACGAAAGCGCTTGGGAACTTCGTGTTTTCTTCTTTCCTTGTGGTTATCAGCATATATATATATATATATATATATATATATATATATATATATATATATATATATATATATATATATATATATATATATATATATATATATATATATCACAATAAGATAACTGAAAATTTTAGAATAGTATTAGCAATGATCTAAGATATGGAAATTAATGAAAGGGAGACTAAGAATACCTCTAGTTCTGGAAACACTTTCGTACCCCAGTATAGTGAAATATACTCCACAATGCAATCTGTGTTTATCACACTACATATCTTTTATGTGAGCATCATTGTCATTTTGTCCAAAATAAGTAATCCCGTTAACATAAGAACATAAGAAAATAAGGAGTCTGCAATAGGCCGGTTGGCCTGTGCATGGCAGCTCCTGTCGAGAGTTACTACCACTCTCTATCATCCATGAATCTATCTAGCCTCCTTTTGAAACTTTCCAGAGTTCCCGCACTTACTACAAAGTTGCTAAGCTTGTTCCACTCGTCCACCACCCTATTTGTGAACCAGTTTCTTCCTATCTCCCTCCTAAACCTAAACTTATCCAACTTGAATCCGTTGCTCCGAGTCCTATCCTGCTCGGATATTATAAGAACTTTATCTATATCCCCTTTAATGATTCCTTTCACCCACTTAAACACTTCTATCATATCTCCCCGCACTCTTCGTCTTTCTAGGGAATGCAAGTTAAGTTTCTTTAACCTATCCTGATATGGAAGGTTTCTAAGTCCCTGAATCATTTTTGTCATTCTTCGCTGCACCAACTCTAGTGAATTTATATCCATTCTATAATAGGGGCACCAGAACTGAACCGCATAATCGAGGTGCGGCCTAACTAGCGCAAGATATAGTTGCAATAAGACCTCTGCACTCTTGTTACTTACACTTCTAGATATAAAACCCAAAACTCTGTTTGCCATATTTCGAACATTAACGCACTGTTTTCTAGGCCGTAGGTCCGGGCTTACAAGTACCCCTAGGTCTCTTTCACAAGTCGACTTCTCTAGGTTGATGTTGTTCAGGCTGTATACATTATAAGTATATGTTCTTCCAATATTAAGTACGCTGCACTTGCTGGTGTTGAATTTCATTTGCCATTTTTCAGACCACCCCTGCAGTTTATTTAGATCCTCCTGTAATGCATTTGCATCCTGCCCTGAATTAATTTGCCGCCCTATTTTGGTGTCATCCGCAAACTTGCTTATGTCACTGCTGATCCCAGTATCTAAATCGTTTATGTAGATTATGAACAAGAGTGGGCCTAGTACTGACCCCTGGGGAACCCCACTGGTTACACGGCCCCACTCAGATTTAACACCATCTACGCTGACCCTCTGCGTTCTATCGGTGAGCCATGATTTTATCCAATTTAAAACTTTCCCCTCGATAATATGAGCCTTAATTTTTCTCAGAAGCCTCTGATGCGGTACTCTGTCAAATACTTTGCTAAAGTCTAAGTAAAAAACATCGTAATTTTCGTCATTATCTACTACCTCGAAGACTTTCCTAAAAAACGTTAGCAGATTTGTTAGACAAGATTTTCCCTTTGTAAACCCATGTTGAGAGTCGTAGATTAATTTGCTTTTCTCTAGATGCGATCGGATGCTATCTGCTATAATTGATTCAAGAAATTTCCCCACTACTGACGTCAAACTGATCGGTCGGTAATTTGACGCTGATGCTCTGTCTCCCTTTTTAAATATGGGTACTACATTCGCCTGTTTCCACAACTCTGGCACAACTCCAGTGTCTAATGATTTTGTAAATAAATTTACGAGGGGTCCGCTAATCTGTTTCCTACACTCTTTTAAGACTCGAGGAAAAATTTCATCCGGCCCTGGGGATTTTGTGTTCTTTAGTTTATTTATCTTCTTAAGAACATCCTCTTTTCTGATTGTGATATTCTTTAATTTCTCTTCTTCCTTTCCCTTAAATATCAGTTCCACCTCCGGAATTTCATCGCAAATTTCTTCTGTGAAAACTGATAAGAAGTAGCTGTTCAATGCTTTGGTCATGTCTTCACTGCCATTTATCAATTCTCCCCTCCCTGACTTTAAAGGCCCAACTTTGTCCTTGACCTTTGTCCTATATACCTGGAAAAATCCCTTGGGATTCGCCTTGGATTCTCTTGCTATTTTGATTTCATAGTCTCTCTTTGCTTTCCTTACATTTTTCTTAACATTCCTAGATAGTTCATTATACCTGTTTCTGAGCTGCTCCTCCCCTCCCTTTAATTTCTTATATATTCCTTTCTTTATTCCTATGTCATGTTTAAGTTTTCTGGTCATCCACCTTGGCTCATTCTTCCACCTTGGCTCATTCTAAGGTTCAAAAGTAATGTTCCCAAATGATGATGTAAAATACTAATATTAATATTAAATATTTTTCAGATTACGACAAAGCCTTACTCCAGGAGGTATACCCATCCCACTACCCAATGTGTATGACATGACGGGGCTGCAGCCAGACGGCAACAACACTTCTGGGGGTGGAATTGAGCCTTACTACTCCATACATTCTCGTCGTAGCACTCGCAGTAAATATGCTTAAGAAAAAACGATAATGCACATGAACATACAAAGGGATTATATAAAAGTTTCATAAATCTAAGAGTGTAATCATGACACATAAATAAGGGTGAAATACTGTATAAGACTCCATGAACATAGTTTCAGAGTTATAGCACAATAGATAAGGGGATAAAGCAGCTTGATGTGGGGAGCGATACTCGAGGCGCACTCAGCGAGACACCACTAAGTATAGGAAGACTTGCAAGTGAAATGAGCCAGTACCAACCACCCCATTAAAACGTGCTTGATTTTTAAATAAAATGCACCAACAACATTGGATATTTCATTTTCCCTCCGTAAATTTCCTCACTTTTCAACCTTGTCATTCACGTTGTAACTCTGAAATTATATTATAATTAAAACCTTTGTATATGTATGTATTATACCCATTACTTGTCCAGACAATAAAAGAAAACATTTGTGGTGATAAATTGGCAACTTTCCCTTAATCATTACAGAAATTGTTCCTTGTGGCAGTGACAACACTCTCGTCTCTGGTGAAGAGCTCATCTTCCAGTCTGAGAACTACCCAGATAATTATCCCAATAGCCATACGTGTAGCTGGAGTTTTACGGTGTGTCTTATATTTTTTCTAATGTTGCGCTCTAAATGATATGAGTGAGACTAAACTCACTTGAAGGTTACAGTCCTATATTTATTCTGGGTAATTGTTGGGATTTACCATAAAATGCCTTAAGATTGATCAAGAAAAATATCGTGACCTTGTTTTGCCATAAAGCTTACTGTATTTGCTCAAGTCATCTACTGTATTTGCTCAATTCATCTACTGTATTTGCTCAATTCATCTACCTCGCTTCTCAGGCTTGACATCATCATAGGGCCCTAAACCCCATTCTCAACTGATATCCATATTAATTAAATTAACTTATAAAGTTGCCTTAGTTCAGTTACAGGACAAATGTTTGTTTAAACAACTTTACATGACGTAAATTTACAGGTGTATTACAAATTGAAGGTAATAACTCCGTGACGACTGACCTCGATGTTCGTCATCTTCATCTTCGTCGTCAAACCTTTACTGCCATTTCGCGAGCTTTCGTGGGTTAGCCGTACGGTTACCTGATGGCTGCTCTCTATGTACCACGGCACCTTGCAGTTTCTCTTTTCAGGTTTTAATCCCAAATGTAATTTCTTGCAATTCTCACTATGGCTCGCCCCTGGCTATCCCCCACCCCCTTCCACATTTGGACTCATGCGTCTCATGACCCATTCGGTCTTATCTATTCTGTCCACATGCCCAAACTATCTCAGCCTGCCTTCTATGCAAAACTTTGCCAGTACGCCCAATACCCAGCCACCCTCTTGGTCCTGAACAGAACCTCCAGTCCTTCAGTGTCACATAATACATCCACTCATATCAGTTTGATCAAGCCTGCTGATGTCATGTACTTTAACTGCCCATATTTCACTGCTATACAACATCCCATTTTCACATCCTGCTTTTCATGCTGTAAGTGGGTCTTCGGAGATGTTTACATTCCTTTACATATGTATGAGTATGTCAGCATACATGTATACATTGCTCTCCATATACGTATATGTACGTCGATCAAAAAATTATGTGTACCTAGGAGTCGATGAATATCAGAATGAGCACTGCGATTCCTGTTGTCTAACACAATTTTGTGAGGATAGGTGTACGTACAGTACAATACATGTATCAGCATACATTAGATTCTGCGCTGTGACATCTTTGACTTGGTAAATATCCAAGAGGTGAGATTTACCTTGAACTTTAATCTTTATGTCATACTTTATTGAATCCTTTACAAGTACTGTATGATTGTCCAACAGAATGCCGATCAAAATGCAAAGCTTATTGTGGTTTGCGATCCGTTCTCTACCCAAAAGAACAAGGATAACTTGATGTTCGAAGAATCTGGCGGACCAAGTAATGTGGCAGAGCTCCCAAAGTAAGTATCGCAAAATTTCTAGATGATGAAATTTAAAAGATTAAATTATAGCTGTTTCTAAAAATAAAAACAATAAAATATTTGCCCACACAAAAAAATAAAAATAAATAAATAAATAGATAAATAAATAAATAAGTAAATAAAATAAATTACATTTTAACATAACAGTTAATAATTTTCCTGACAGAGTAAGTGGAGGGTACGACAGTTTTACGGTCAAGACTACCACGAACAGCTTGACTGTCACTTTTACGACAAGTAGGAAAGATGCCTTTACGGGCTTCAGCTGCACCGTTGCGAGTACAGGTGAGTGTATATTGTCTTCAGTGTGACTATTACCATGGGTGTATATCGTCTCCAGTGTGACTATTACCATGGGTGTATATCGTCTCCAGTGTTGACTACTACCATGGGTGTATATCGTCTCCAGTGTCGACTACCACCATGGGTGTATATCGTCTCCAGTGTTGACTACCACCATGGGTGTATATCGTCTCCAGTGTGACTACTACCATGGGTGTACTGTATATCGTCTCCAGTGTTGACTACTAGCATGGGTGTATATCGTTTCCAGTGTTGACTACTACCATGGGTGTATATCGTCTCCAGTGTCGACTACCACCATGGGTGTATATCGTCTCCAGTGTTGACTACCACCATGGGTGTATATCGTCTCCAGTGTGACTACTACCATGGGTGTACTGTATATCGTCTCCAGTGTTGACTACTAGCATGGGTGTATATCGTTTCCAGTGTTGACTAATACCATGGGTGTATGTCGTCTCCAGTATTGACTACTATCATGGGTGTATATCGTCTCCAGTGTTGACTACAGTAATACCATGGGTGTATATCGTCTCCAGTGTTTACTACTACCATAATTATTAATATTCTAGGATCTTATAAAACTGAATAATGGATATACTCATTGTTGTGGATCTATCTCGTAAAATCAGCATTAGAGGATACAGATTCCCCAAGAGCTATTGTGATTGACAAGAGAATGGTTGGAGCTATGGGTGAGTGGTAGTGAATTTGTTCTTTAACCTCAGGACATCTGTACTAACGGCAACTATAGTTTTCTTTTCGCTACTTCATATCCAATATGAAAGCTGAAATTTCTCCACAATTTCAATGGTCGAGTGAATTGAAATAAGAATATGCAAACTATTTCCAGTGATAAACACTTTAATGTAAATAATTTATAACTTAATTGGAAAATTTATTTATTAGCGATTATAAAAATGTAAACAGTTTAATCTTCAATATTTTGTAAGATTTTACTTCATTTACTCATATTATGAGAGCACCTTTTAATTCTCTGGTGATTATTTAGCATTACTGCCACCCTCATCAGCTAGTCAATCTATGACACAGTTAATCCAAAATTATCATATACTGTAGTGTCCAGCTACACTATTGTATGAAGTTCTGTATTTTCCTGGTCATTTTGATTTTTTAGTTTTGGGTAAGATAGTCTCCCCACAGGCGGAACAGGGGCAATTTCCTTCACTTCCATTTGTTCGAGTTTCGTCCGTGTAAACATCCAAAGATACACTTATAAGCACTGTTTCTGAATCACATCTGAGTTTTTCAGAATTTCATTGTTAGCAGAAGTATACACCTGTAAACAAATTATTACTTTGAAAATAAATTCACGCTTTTGTTGTAGAGAACCAAGATTCCACCTCCAGCCAGCCCAGCTCAACCACGATGCCCAGCTCGACCACGAAACCCAGCTGTGGTAAGTTCCTTAAAACACTAACCTTAGATCTGTCAGACCCGATGCTTCTCGACGTTCATTTGTTCTATGGGGTTTCCATATGGGATAATGGGTTCCTCTATCAGTTCCTGTTTAGGCATCACCGAGGGCAGGTACGTCACTCTGTGCTCCTATTTTTGTGTAAGTTTTTATGGAGTTTATGTTCGATAGACCCAAGTAGAGTCATAGTGTGGGGGCGGGGGATAAATAACCTTCATGTGCTACGACTGAATGGTAGCTCTCTCTGCTTGTTAACAGGAAGCCAATGGTCTGGAGATAATCTAATATTAAGTCTTCTTAGTGAATATATTTGTGTTATGTTGATCAGAGTAATAACTCATTCATATTTTTTCTGCTCTTGTACAGTAACTACTTCCATTTATATTTCCCTTATTTTTTTTCTTAATAGGGTAAAGTAAAGCTTAAAGTATTGACTTTCTTTTTTATAAATTAATTGCATTTTGAATTATTATTTTTTAAAAGTTTCCCTCCCGGGTCAGTTGAACCAGAGGATAGTGAAATCGTTCTGAAAACATGCAGATAGTGTTCTAGAGTTAAAAAACATGAAGGCATACCGATTGGCATATACATAGAGAAGTGGAGGAGTGGTGGAATGTCTAGTACAAACAAAGGATTTCCAAGGATTCTACTTCTTTGACGATATTATCCAAGTACGAAGTGCTGCTAAACACTTTGGCAATAAATATGACAGGGACAGAGTATGAAGCAGCAAGAAGTGAAAACACGGATACAATGGAGGAGATTGTAGAGGTCACCTGTATTATGTCACCAAACAGAAACAATAATGATGCAGACAAGAAAGTTCAGAACAAATCAGGGAAACATTAATGAGAAATAAACGACTGTTATGATTTAAAATCAGGTAAAAGTGCAAAAAGATGGAGCGACTGATGGCAACATTTCAAAAAAATTGGAAAAAAAGGATCGTACATAGCAAAATAAAAAACAATGAAAACCAAAGTTCTATAAGTGGTCAAGTGAATACTCAGATAGATAATGAATTAGAAATTGGGAAAGGAAAAAAAGAAGATGGGAAGAAATGAAACGGTTGAACATATACAGAGCTGCAGCATACGAGCAATTAGCTGTAGTAAGGTGATGTTGAGTAAGAGGGATGGAAAAGAACAAGCCAAAAAAGAGGTGAATAAAGGAAATAATAGAACAGTTGGAGAGAAAAGAGAAGTCATGAAGATAAAATAAAGAAACGATTTTTTTAGTCTTTATTATGACAATAATTAACATGATTATTATGAGTGCTACACTAAATGTGAATGGTCTAAATATAGTTTAAGTAGGCAAGTGCAACTATTATCTATTGCTGGTTATTATAATATTGACATCCTTATAATACAGGAACATAATGTTGAGGATTATATTGCCTAAATGATTACTTCCAGATTATTTTGAACAATACACATTTGTTAAAAGAAGAACTGCATTTTTAGTAAGGAAAAATTTCACTTTCAAAATACTAAACTATGAGATGGATGAGAATGGCCAAATTTTATGTGTCAGAGTTTACGTGTTAGACCATATAATTCTCATTATTAATATTTTTGCCCCATCAGGGGATACAAGGAAAAGGGAGAGAGAAAAATAATTTTCTGGTGATTCAATATATCAGGAGTGATATTAAAACTATAATAATTGGAGGGGATTTTAACTGTGTTACCAGCATAAGAGATTATAGCAATCAAGAATACAAATGTATGGTGTCCAAAGCTTTAACTTAGGATATTGCCATGATACATAATTATCAACCTGAGTTTACATGGGCTTTACTTTAAGGGGCTTGAGAACAAAAGAGTAAAGTGTATTACTGTTCCAGTCAGTTTTTCTGACCATTCAATGGTTCTGTCAAAAGTAAACATTCGCAAAAAAGTAAAAGTAGGTTAAGTTATCTGGAAACTGATTTGTAGTAATTTTAAGCTCTGATAAGTGCAGGTAAATTTAAGAGTGTTTTGGATAAATGTTAAGGAGAAAATAAGCAGTTACCAGAATATTTTACAGTGGTGGGAGCAAAACGCTAAATTAGAATGCAAGAACCTTTTTTTAAATATGTAAAAGAATGTCTCAATAAAAATATCGGTTAATTAATTTATTTCAACGTAGGTTAAGAGAGCTTAATGAAAAAGCTAAATACTATGATGTGAATTATGAAGAAATAAAGTATGGAAAGAGTTGAAACTAAAGATGAATATTGTGAAAATTTTATAGAGAAATCCAAACCAAAACTCAGGGAATCGGAAAATGAAACTTTAATAACACCAGTAAATTACTAGGAAATATGGGATGTAATTAATTATCCGATAATTCTCAACCTTAATAGTTCCCGAGGTGGAAATTTATAGGGGTAGAGATCATTGAGATTATTCAGTTTATCTTTCACGATAAGGTATTAAGTTTGTCACAAAATACAGGAATAGTAAAGCTAGACCCGGCTCCCACATGAGGGTCGACTCACAGAACGAGGGTCTGGCTATACCTTCTTCTGGAAGTGTATGCCTGCTGTGGAGAGGAACCGCATTTATAGACTTGGCTTTGCCATCCACCAATGCATCCTACACAGGCTAACTAAATGCCTGTTGGGATCAACGAGCACTTCATGATGCTCAGAGTCCAACTGAATGACTCACGTCATGCCTTTTTCATTAGTGCATAAGCCCCAACACTGGATACAGAGGATGACATCATTGGGGCCTTTTACGCGGACCTTGACGGAGTACCAACCTCTATCCCAGGAGAAGATAAGGTTGTGATCCTTGGTGACTTCAATGCCAGAGTTGGCAGAGATGCTGATATTTGGCAGGGAACCAAAGGGAGGAATGGTCTAGGCAAGTGTAATTCCAAGTACCTACTCCTCCTCAGCAAGTGTGCTGCACATAAGCTCACTATCACCAATACCTTGCTTAGGCAGGCCGACAGTTTCAAGGGTTCGTGGCAAAACCCACAATAGAAACACTAGCATCTCATTAACTACAACACTGTCAGAGAAAGAAATCGCCGAGATCTCCTCATCACCTGAGCAATGCGTGACTCAGACCACTGCGACACTGAACATCGGCTCGTCAATGTTAAGCTCTCACTTCACATTGCCCCAAAACGGCGATGGCAACAAGCCTCCAAAAGAGGTTTTAACACGAAGTGTCTGGAGGAACCAGCGGTAGCACATACTTTCATTGAGCAGCTCGAACATGGACTGATAAACAACCCAAATCCCAGAGCCGAATGGGGTATTTTCGACACGGTTATGGCAAAAACGTGCAGAGACCTTCTGACAGATCAAAAGAATACACCATGAATGGTTTAATGAAAATGACCCAGAATTCAATGGACTCGTCGAAAATAAACGTGCTGCTTCAACTGACTGTTTCAGACCTTCCACATGAAGAATATCGTGGCCCATGGCAAACTTTGCAAACTAAAGAACGACTGCTTTATAAATAAAGCATGTGAAAAGCAGATCAACACAGGATAAGCAGATTTTTTAATTCTACTAAAACTTTTTATGGGCCAATCACTCCTGGAAAAAAACTTCGGTAATTCCCTAATTAAAAGAGAAAAAGGCATCCTTCAGCGCTGGAAAGAGCACTACAATTTGCTGCTCAACTGAAACACCGATGTGGATTTCCTGACTACCCAGCAGGTCTTTCAGCATCCAGAGCTGATGCATCTCAGCTATCATCCATCCCTGGTTGAGGTAGCTACTGTATTTATATTATGTATGTTGTATGTATACTATGTACATACCCCATTTATATACATTACATCTCTTGTCAGTACCATGTGGCAATGCCCCTGTTTCATGTCACCACACTCTTAGATAATGTGCCTGGCGACATCTGGAAGCTGCTAACGTACCACTTGCCACATGTCGCCTAAGAGGTCAGGGCGAGGTCAGTTGACCCATATAGGAGTGTAGGGACTACGGACGCTTGTAAGCGCACCCTTGTATACTTCAGTCAAATAGAACCTACAGAACTCTACAGGTGTTTATGTTCGCCCCTGTAGTTAGAACTGAATACCCAGAACATCCACATGGTGCAGTGAGTTGATTGATTGGAAATATAAGTGCGTTTGTGTAAAATAAAGCCCGGTAGACCCCCACCCCGCTCCGTCAACACCGTCAACCGTCGCTCTCCTAATCCATTGTCTCCAACAAAACCTCGTTTGAATTACCGAGTTTTGAGCAGTGTTTCAGTGACAGCAAGTTATTGTGAAGTGCTATAAGTGCCTTCGCGCGTGTACTGCATAAGTGTATGACCTTGTTTTATGGGATTCCCCAAGGTGGAAGGCGTGTTCAGGGTATTGGTGAAGAGCGATGTTAGCGAGAACCTTCCCCGGCCGAGTCTAGAGTGTAACTGACCCGCCTCCCTCCACCGCTCACATCCCCCCCACCTCCCACCGCCTCCCTCCGCACTCCCACCATCCACGGGTACACACACACCAACTCACGCATAAACACACTGACTGCAGTCATTTCCTTATATATATTTTATATATATATAAGTTACTTAACTGTGTATTCAATTAATTTTTTGTCTCAGCTCCTGTTGATACGACAGGCTGACCGGTCAACATTGATTTGAGATACAATATGTATAATATGGACACGAAGTAGTACCTTAAGCTGTGTATTCATATATTACTCTATTAATTATGTATAGTAAAGTATTACAGAACATGTATTAATTCTATGTAATATTTCCATTTATTATGCACCATGTTATGTATATGAATTATCATATTTACATTTTATGTATTCAGCTTGTGAATGCTGGCATCTGTACACGCCAGAGCGCAGTGATACATGTAGTGGAGACAGCCAGTCCCTCAAGTGCGGAAGCGAGTTTCTTGGTCCATCTCTGTATATCTCCTGTACGAGAATAAGAACCTACTTTTAAGATAACAAGTGATTGTGTATACTCTCAGTAGTGTAGAACATTTTGGGGGTATCCAAAACGAACATAGACAATATACAGATAAAGTAATTATGCCCCGGGCCTCACGCAGGAGTGTCCCTAGCGCATGGATGAGTCAGTC